AGACAATCATTTTATTCCAATAGCAAAAAAATATATGAGCTATTATCGTGTTAACTTTGTTTATATAAGTTGTTCTTTGGTATAGACATGATTTTGTTTAATGCAATAAAGATATTTTTGATTGATTAGAATTGTCTCACTAAACAATCATTATTTAATTTTTAATGATCTGGGAATGTTAAAAAATATCTCAGGAAGAGAGATCACCTGAGAGCGGTGAAAACATTAATTTTTATTGCATAAAGGTAAAAAGGTTTTATATTGATAACGTTTTTGGGGGGAGTTGGGTGGGAGGGTGTTGCTATAAAGTTCGTCAAAATGTTTTGTTTTACTGGAAATGACAACCAGACGTTCAAAATCATTTGTGTCATTTATATGCTTATGTATACATTATGTTTGTTTTGTTTTTGTTTTTGTTTTTTTGTGTTTTTTTTTCGATTATTTTTCAATTCAATATTGATCAACTTATATTTCTGTTAGAATTGTCACAGAAAGCTTGCTTTTTTAGTTATGTAACGATTTGTCATATTATTATTGACGCAGTTACATGTTTTTTTATTGTTAGGATATATTAATTGTGTTTAACATTATTATGTTCAGATGTTGTGCATCATTAGCAAATAATACAATTAGAAGCTTTTTTGTATTTGTTTACTTCAATTATTGTGATAAAATGCAATGTTTATTTTTCACTATAATGTAATATGCTTTAAGTTACATGATTTCATACATTTGCACCTGATAAAATTTGCTCACATGAATATATATTTAAAAAAAAACATGATGAATGATGTCAGTTTTGCTCAAAAGATAAAAGTTTATGAAGCAAGTTTCAAATGCAAGTTTTAGGATATTTTAAATAAATTTTTTTGCGAAACAGATAGAAAACATAATGTTGTTTCGTCTTATATACAACTTCCTGAAAACTCAATATTTACCGACATGTTTGTCATAAATGTAATGAATTTGCCTCTAATGCTGTTATGTGAAAGATATGACTTTTTTAATTTTGTTTAAATTTAATATAATTGATAGAAAGATGTTTTTGAACTCTTTGATTGATGTTGTGTTAATGTATTCTTGAAGCTTCCCTTCTTGAAAAAAAAAAAACAACGGAAAACCCCAAAAAAGAACTCACAAAAAGACAAAATTGAAAATGTTTCAGGGTCGTTTTAATTGAGCCCGTTAATGGAAAGTAGAGGTGAATGCAAGGTATCTTCTACCCTAGCCCTCTTATAGCACCGGCTCAACCAGTTCATGGTGAAAGTTTGAATTTAGATATTAAGATGCATTCATACGTCGGTGATCATAGAACATTCAATGTGACACGTTTACGTTATTCCATAAAAAGCGGCGTATGGTTCCAAGTAAAAGTATGTTTGTATCTTTAACGAGAAAACAATGGACGAAACTAAAAGATATTGAAGTTCCAAATGGGATCAGTGGTTAAGAAGCCTGCATATCACAGCCAAGCCGTCAAAAGACACATCTAAAAAGCAGGCAAAATATTCTAAGGTTAATTTAAAATCATAATTATACAGAATTTTTGTTGGAATACTGGAACATTATACCTTGAAAGAAGGTCAAATAGAAGGGGAAAAAACATTAATAATTATGTCATGCCGAACGATCTTCGAGGATCGGAAATATATCATCTCAGATTGAATGTAAGGTCTCAACACGGCATATACTCGTATAACGTTGGTGTGACGATAAAATAGAGGAACATTGAATCCCTAAAGAAAATGTTGAATTCTGGTCAAGCCGGTGCTGGTGGGGGGAAGGGGCGTGGACAATAACTTGCACTTTTCAGTACTGTACATGAACGGGCTCAATCAACCGAGCCTGCAACATTTTCAATTTTGTCGTTTTGAACGTTCTTTAAGTATTTCGTTTCCCTCAATTTGAGTCTATATATAAGGGTAAATGCAAGCTGCAACATCTCCCACGCACCGGGTTGAGCAGTTCATTTTTCAAAAACACTATTAAGTAACATATTTTCATGTAAAACAAAACAGCGATTACATGAAATTTTACAGGGTTTTCTTTCTATTCAACTGATATATACGCAATAGAGTATGCTAAATTAAATGCAGATGGTTTCTGTTTTAAGAAAATCGAGTCGTGTCTCAAGAAACAGAATCTCTACAGCAAAATATAATTGGTTTAAACATATTTATTTAAGCTCGATTGCGAAACAAGTTCTTGCAACTTATATTAATCACTTTCGAGTCCGCTTCCTGGAACCAACCAGTACTGGTGTCATATGAAGAAACATGGTCGTAACCCGAGTAGGGCTCGAACCCATGATCTCTGGGTTGAGAGGCAGACACCTTAACCACTAGGCCACCGCTTCCCGCAAAATATAATTAAGCCATACTCTGACAGTGAAGACATGACGACGGATATTTTAATTTTGGCACGAATTAGTAAAGTTTTATGACATTTTAATTACAATGTATAGAGTTTTAGTGTCCCACTCCCATATATATTTCCTTTCTATATTTAGAGACTTATTGACAACAATAAAAGCAATCAAAACCTGTGCGTAGAACCTTATCTCTTGGATGAGTTTCTTCTTTGACGTAGGATTATTACCAATTTCTAAATGTTAAGTTATTTTGTTCTTGTCATCGTGTCTCAGAAACCAATAAAACTATAGTACCATATGACAATTACCGCTGAATTGTAAAGGAGAATACTCCCAACTGAGTAATAAGCCGACAAAATGATACGGTATCCTTCTGTTACAGGAATATTATTAATATTTCTTTAAAAATGGCAAATTATCATGGAAATGACAAGCTTTCATTTAAATCTGTTAAAGGAAAAACATTTTTTTCTTTTCTAAGAAGATATATATTCAATAGGCGCTGATTGATTAGAAAGCTTGTTTCTGTGATTTTAAGGGGAAAAATGAAATATTTGTTGATAAATTATCATTTTGACACTGTATTTACATTCAAGTTTTAAGTTTAATTCCGTATAACTTATTTACGTGATCATAGTTGTGAAGTGTGCCTCCGTAGTTGAGTGAGTAAGGTTGCTGACTTCAAATTAATTGCCCCTCAACACTATGTATTCAAATCCCGTCAGTATCTTCTAGTTATTCATGCGAGGCAGAAACCTTCAGTTACCTTCCGGAATGACAGTGGTACTACTCAGGTGCCCTCTTGTGCCTGACAAAATACTGACGCCTCCATGCACCAAGTCGCCATATGAACTTGCATTGTCGCTGCGGCAAATCCAACAAAATGAAAAATGTAAGATGATGCTGAACATAAAATTAAATTTTCAGGGTAAAAGAATGAATTGTCAAAACAAAGAGTTTGGGGATCTACGAGGACAAATAAACATCTCAAATCAGATCCATTTGGGTTTTTTATCATTTCTTCTCCGTACGGTATTCAGGGCTGTTAACATTTCTTCTTAGCGTCTTCTTCTTCGTACGGTATTCGTGAAATCAATTATGTATTTTTTGTTCAATTAAGACAGAGAGTTGAATGGTTTGAGCATATTCCTTTCTTTTTCCACTTTACAAACTGATTAATTCTCGTAATTGAGTGCGCCTCTATTTTATACTTTCAGTTTGCATATAAACAGCACATTTGACTTTGGCTTAAATCGTAATTGCAAATTATCTCAAAACTTGAACTTCTTTATATTCTGGGATTTATCCTTAATCAAAAGTTGCTCCATTGTGCAGCAAAGAGACTCCATATATTGTTTTCAATTAGGAGAGCAAAAACGAAATGTTTTCTCATTTGATTTTCTAGGATTAAACTCCTACTCTAATTCAGATGGTGCAAAAGATAAAAATTGTATGCAAATTCATTGCACATTGATCTAAAAAGAATGTAAAGTACAATTTACTCGTACATGCTATTGGGAAGCAATAAAAATAGCAAGCAAACTTAACAGAAAACATGTTATCCAATATCCTAGGAAAATCTGTGTAATTGAGTTTTAATTTTTTGTACGCGAATTTATGGAATTTCAATTCTAAAAGATGTGACATTAGCTAGGTGTACAAAGAATGATTAAATAGCTGCAAAGGGATGTATTCTGGCCTGATGCTTTTATATTCAGATAAAATTTCAATTGATCTCTCTATACTTAAAAAATAAATAGTCAAATATGGCCAACAGTTCTCAGTTGTTGTTTTTCTTCTTCAACTAATAACTATAACAGATATTGTTTCCGTTTCTATTTAGCAATGTATGTTAATAGAACTGGTGATATCTTTGAAAACAATGAATCGCGAAGATAATTTGACATATTATGAAGCTTAAGTTTTGTGCTGTTTTATAGAAATGACACATACTTATAAATATCTGTATAGAGTAAGTAAACAAACGATCAATTTTCGAACTTGTACCACACTTTTTGTATCATAATTTTTTGTCAGAGTAGATACATATCTCTGTTGACCTTCTCCGAGCAGAATGCCTCCAGATTCATTTTTAAAGTAGATCTAAAATATTGTCAAGTTAACAAAGAAAGTAATTTACATATTGTAAACAGAACTCTCAATCACGTAAATTACCAAATAAGGGCCAAAATATGTCCCCAAAAAAATCCTTACTCCGTTAGCCACGCAACAGATATATATGGTGATAAACACTGCAAGATCAGTCATTAATTGCATGTAAATCATCATTTGGAAGTTTGAATATTTTTATTTTACTACTTTACTTTTCTTAAAGTCTTAAGTACATTTTTCTCAAAGTTGATTTTTAAATTCTTTTGAATTTTCTTTCTTTTCCTGTTGCTCACCAGGTGGTATTCAGCTTAAAACGCATGTGAGACAGAAAATTGCAAAAAGGAAACAATTTGCTTTCTTTAGGGTATGTTATATTAAAGTGTCACTAAACTACAAGTGTTAACATACTGTAAAGTGGCGTCTGTCTAAATAGTCATATAACGGATAATTTACATTCATAACTTATTTTTACAAAAATGATATAATTTGATTTTTTGTTGTGTCACATCGATCGATATAAAATATTGTACGCTTAATTAATGGTGGGTAAACGTTCTAGTTTCTTACCCGGTGGTAAATACGAAATTTAGATTTAAAATTTTAGTAAATAGTGTGTTATACGTTGTAACTATACATTTACTGTATATACACGACACGATACGAACTAGAAAGTGACCTTTGTCTGACTTGGACTAAAATAAGGTAAGTTACATTTAAGATTATTCGCATATTCGATGATTGATCTATTGATCATTGTAGGTTGCATATATAGACACACTTTACATAAACGTGAGATATTGAATTGTTTACTTTTATTTTCCATAAGGCTATTAGTATAAACAAGACCAGGTAAGATATTCATAAACGATATACATACACGAACATTATAACCGTGGCCGTACATGGTATGCTGAGACTTGAAACCCGAGCCAGATATCTGTGTCGTTTAAATTGTGTCGTTCAAATTGTGTCTCTACAGTGATATGACAATGTATATCATTTTATATTCGCATTCAGTTATTTAAGATTATCAAAATATGTTTGAATGTAAAATTTCTATACATAAGTCGCAATTGTTTAGACTATATGTTTCATAGTCCTATACAGTATATACAGATTATTTTTGAGATTATTTTTGTACATATACTTAGTAACTTGTTTTGAGTCATTACATTAAATAAGCAGGATCGTTCTTTTCCCTGTCATAGATTCATTATTACAACATGGAACCATGCGACATACTCGTGACCGGGGGATCCGGTTTCCTTGGCCAGCACGTTATCGGACTGCTTCAAACAAGAGCTGATCACGTGACGGAAATTCGGGTGTTAGATATGGTACACTATGAAAATAAACTTGGTAATTAGTTTTAATGTTTTTTATATATCAATATTAATTACATTTGTTAACATGCTATTCCGGTAATTATGTCATCATCATCACCATCATCTTCATTGTTTTCTTAATCATGCTTATCATCATCATCATCATCATCATCATCATCATCATCATCATCACCACCACCACCACCACCACTACCACCACCACCATCATCATCATTAACAACAACAACAACAGCAGCAACAACATCCACATCGTAGTTTTTTTCTTAAAATGATAATATTTATCACCATTTCTACAACAACTAGATCTAACAATATTATATAATGATTATCATTTTCACCAAGACCATCACAACTTCCACGACCACCTATTCCATAAATATCATAATCATCAACACCATTTACTATTATTTTTCATTATCATTATGTAAAATCTAATTTCAACTAAACACCTATGTTGTAGCAAACTGTATTTTGTTAAACTCTTATGCAATAATAGGCTACAGTGCCGGTTTGTTATCACTATCTTAACACCATTTTATCCATCTAGATTATAAACATTCAAAGCCAGTGAAGACGTATGTTGGTAGTGTAACTGACGAGAAGATTTTAAAGGAGGCCTGCCACGGTGTCCGATGTGTAATACACATTGCTGGCATTCCAGATTCTTCAATGTTCCCTGATAAAGAGAGAATTAACAAAGTTAACATTCAGGGTAAGCTCATAAATATATGCCGTGTTCACGAACAATAATGCTGTCACAGTTCAGAAACGCTAGTAGAGCTATTTAAACTCTTGAATGTAAGACCCATTATAGCTTAAATTGTCTCACTGTGTTTTTATCAATAAATTTTATCAGGCAACAAGTTAATTCATTTTGTAAAGCAAGTTATTTCATACCGTTGCTGTTTTTACGACATGACATGCCGTGTATACATGTATATTTTAAAGTGACGTCACTTGCGTAATACGACGTGCTAAATGTTAGCGTTACACTATGAGGGCGTCTGTGTTTAACTATAAACAGTTCTCGTTTTATGTATTTGATAAACAGAATATTATATCCATGTAGCTTCATTACTAAATTTATTGAACTCGATACTCGCCAGAGGCTCGCAAAATATATTCTTCTTCCACTCATTTTATAAATTCAGTATTAGACCTACACTAATTCAATATCCTCTATGTAATGTATGTATTCGTATGTTTCAGTGATACGTAATATTAGTGGCATCGTTTCGGAGACAAATTATTAAGATGCTTTTGTACTTTGGTATGAACTTAAGAATTAAAGTTTGTTTTAACTATATATAGCAGCTTCTATGCGTTAATTCGGATAATTGGTAATTCCGGCAATGTTCATTTTAATATTTGAGCCGCGTCACGAAAAAACCAACATAATGGGTATCCGACCAGCATGGATCCAGACCAGCCTGCGCTTCCGCGCAGTCTGATCAGGATGCATGCTGTTCGCTATCAGTTTCTCTACTTGTTATAGGGTTTGTAAGCGAACAGCATGGATCCTGATCAGGCTGCGTGGATGCGCAGGCTGGTCTGGATCCATGCTGGTCGCAAACTCATTATGTTGGTTTTGTCGCGACACGGCTCATTTCATGTTGTCTTTGCAAGGTACTCTACTGACGTTGCTCGCGGCATTAGGAACAGCTGGTGTTCAACGATTTATATACTGTAGTTCTGTGTCTGTTGCTATTGGCAACAATGACGTCACCGACGGAATTCGAGAGGATGACCCAATTCCATCCAAGCGTCTTTTTGAACCATACGCATCTTCGAAATTGGCGGGTGAACGTTTTGTAATGGCTGCAAACGGTAAGCAATATGCATTATTCTATTAAGAAAATCGCTATCTCAATATCTATATTAATTAACACCTCTTTATATTGACATTAAAGAAGCTTTAACACTTAATAAAGCCCTTGAATTAGGTGCATCGAAAACTTCAATAAATTGGAGTTTAAGATAGGCCCTACCGTTGTAAAATTAGATTTCTTTGAAAGTCAGTATATTTAAGTCTCATCGACATGTAAATGTCTTATGGAGGCTTTGTATGAGCACATTTGTCTCGGATCACATTTGTCTCACGAAGTGTGACCGATGTGTTCGTAAACATTCATATTTGCGACAAATTGGAAATGAGACATATGTGTTCGACACACAATAGAAAGGACACTCGAAGCACATTTGTCTCACATTTTTTCCATAAAATTCTTAAAGGGTAATAATTATGTCCGTCTGTTTACCGGCTACCAGCCATTGTTCAGTGTTTTCTGTATTCAAAATACCGTTTTGAGGTCACTTCCGGTCAGTCAAAAACTTCCTGCCTCTGCATAGGAGTCATATATTAAATTAAAGAATATCCCTGTTCTGCAAATGTCACAATGAAAAATTCTACAAGTGCAGCATCCAGAACCTAAACACATATGCAGCACGTCTATTCTTATCGTTATCAATTGTGATACGTCTATTTTCAATGCTTAAAGTTTTATAAATGATTTATGGCAAAACTAGAAATATTCTGTAGTAATTACGGTGGCATAAAGGGGACATCGAATTTTCTTATTTATTACGTGCGCACACAATAGCTTTTCCGTGGTCACGCGATACCATTACGTGCGCACGTGATAGCTATTACGTGCGCGCACAGCGCACATGTACTACGCATTTGGACCCTGACCGGGATCCTCGCATGAAATAGTTCGACGCCCCGTGTATGTGTCGAAACTACAGCGGCTAGGGGCAAGTGGTTTTTTCGAAATCACTCGGCCACGGAGGCCTTAAATGATCCATGGAAAAAATAAGAAAGACCATTACACACGTATTTCGTTTTCAATCAGAAATATATGTATAAAAAGTCGTCATTTTCCAAAATTGCGGCTTTTCAGATCTGCCATTGAAAAGACACTTACAACATGCATGAGTTTCTAAATTAATCCGGGTAAAGCCATAATTATGGAATATCGGGCCACTGAGAATCGGGCGAGACGAGACACGAAGCGAGGCACGATATTTTTGTAACAGGAGATCTCGCAATGTCGCAAGAGATTTCAGAAATGAGTAAAGTTTTACTTCTTTAGATAGGGCAAGTATGAATTTATTGATATTCAAATAATGATTTTCTGAGGAAGTTAGATACTTGTAACCCAAAGAAATTCGCATAAATGTGAAATAATGCGTCATAAAAGTAGCAAAATGTAAACAATGTAGTCACAAATTCTAAAAATCACTTCAGCTGTACAAACTGCAAAAAAGCAGCAGATGAAAAATGCTTCAGATAATTAGCCAATGAGTAACTTTTTGGAGCTATAAAAAGCATACCAAAAATAAAAAGCTTTGAGGAATACAAATAAAAGCATCTCTCAGGCTAAATAATAAGTGATTTATAGTGGACTATAAAGGGAATACTACTTAGCGGTATATGACCTGGAATCAATTTCTTGTCCCGCGTCGACGAACGGGATGCGAAGCGAGACGCGAGATTTCGCGAGACGCGAGATTTCGGCGAGATGCGAAACGAGTCACGATATTGTATCATTCAATATCAACTGATAATGGTACAAAGGTGAAATTGAGATGGTGCGATGATTAAAACACGATGGCACGATGGTGAAATCACGATGATGCGAATGACACGATAGAGAAAATTATATCGCGTTTTCATCATCATGCCATCGTAGTTTCATCATATCGTGCAATCGTATTTTCACCATCGTAACATCGTCTTTCATCATAGTACCATCACGTTTTCATCATCGAGTCTTTCGTTGTTTCACCATCGTACAATCGTTGTTTCACCAATCGTATCGTACAATCGTTGTTTCACGTTCGTACCATTGTGTTTGCACCATCGCGTTTTCATCAACCGTACCATCGTGCCATCGCGCTGTCACTATTGTACCATCGTGAACGGGATTTACTATGTTCAGTGTACCCCTTAAGGTTAAGTCACATCAATTTCTTGAATTAGAAGATATTGTTAATTAATAGTTCACTGTAGTTTTCAGAAAGAAAGCAGAATGATTACACTTAGTAAAGCGGCGAAACTCTCCGATTCTAAAAAAGAATTTCTGCCGTGGGAATATGTGACAAAATAATTCATAAAAAATGACATGAGACAAATGTGTGCTTTCTTGTCCCTTAAAAAACACATGAAGACAAATGTGCTTTCTTGTCCCTTAAAAAAACTTGAAATCGGAGCAACATTGTGTCACCACAATGAGTTTTTTGGTGTTAGACATTTGAAGGTCCCATTTGTCTCAATGTGGGACAAATGCGACCCGCATAAGGTCTTACGTAAGACAATTTTGCTCCGAGACAAATGTGCTCCTACAAGGCTTTCTAGTTTTACTGGTGCAGGAAGACCAAGTCGCCCCTTAGTATTTGTTATAGACACGAGCGTGCATCCAATTTGAACCACCGACTTCCCGTAAGCAAGTTTGATACTTTCCTCACCTGAAAGAGTCCAACATCCCCGACGGGTTGACAAGTGACTTGGCCATAAAGACCTTTTCTTTCTTTTATTATTAACATACATTTCATGGCATCATTTCTACAAAATTTGGCCTAAATAAGACGCAGTTTAAAATCATTGTCTGATACAAGAACTTCGGTAAGAAAAGATCAGAAGTTATTTTATTTTGATAGCAGACTTTAATTCAGTAATTATATGCTTATATTTTCAGGTCCTACATTTCGCACTGTTTGCCTGAGACCATTGGTCATGTGGGGTGAATTGGATTCTACATTTGTTCAGCTTTCACTAAAATCAGCGGCTCAAACATTCGGTTATTTACCCAGAATTCAATGCGGCAAAATAGCGCACCACAATGCATATGTTGGCAACGTGGCTTGGGGATTCGTCTGCGCTGAAATAAAATTATATAACGATTTGAAACGCAGTGACGTCAGAGGGAGCATGTCAAACCATGAAAAGGATGAAAGAAATAGAGCCGAGTTTTGTTCAGAACTACGCAGACGTTCTAAGCGAATGGGGTCAAATCTTGATGAAAATGAAGATTTAAAAGATGTAAATAGTGACTTGAAAGAGTCGACTGCTAATATTTATTACTTAGTAGACGACACTCCACCAAATAACACTTACGATTTTTTGAAACCATTTCTAAATGCGTCAGGTTACAAAATGACAGAGTTTGCATGTCCGTTGGTTTTATTTGCAATTGTGTACTGGATAATTTTTGGTATTCTTTTTATCGTGCGGCTGTTTGGATTCAAAGTTAACTTTCCGGTTGCAGACGGACTTATTGGTTTTAACAAACGAACTTATGTGTTTAATGACGACAAAGCACGTGAGGAATTAAATTACAGGCCACTATATTCACCTGAAGTAGCTTTTGAAAGGTCGATCAAATACTATAAGAAATGTTCTAACAATGTCAGTTGAAACTGTTAGTTAAGCGTAAAATTTACATAGACTCTATATACCATGTAACATAATATTAATATAAAAATGGTCGACTCAGTCCTGGTCTTGTGGCAAATATCGCGTTTTTTAAAAATATGTTGCTTTATTTTTAATTAAGAATTTTTAAAGGCAAACAAACATATTGCCAAGAAAAAAGTCAAAATATATATCAAATATTGATCAGATTAATTAAACAGATATGGCAGTTTTTTTTATTTGTTTTTATTATAATTATTATTCCGCTTTGTTGTCCGTTCTTGACATTGTATCAGACTATAAACATACGCTAGTAAGAGTAAGAAAATGACATTTTACTTACTTTAAAGTGTACCGATGCCTCTTAATATCATACCATTTGCATTCACATTCAACCAGTATTAAAGTATTACCTCATATTGGTCTTGTAATAGAAAGAGCATCGAAACACAGCACAGGGCAATCTGATTTGTACGAGGGGGCGTAGCCCCCCCCCACCCCCCCGAGTATTAATCAGATTGCCGTTCTTTTCTTTTGTATCATAGTCAGGGAAGGTGTTTTATGTTTGACTATGATACAAAAGAGAAAGAACATCAAAACACTCGGCATCTGATTAATACTGGGGGGGGGGGAGGGGGGGGGGGCCTACGCCCCCTCATATAAATCAGATAGCCTCGTGTTTCGATGCTCTTTCTATTACATAATTCAGGTCAATCATGCATTTCATATATCAACAAAATCTTGTTTGCGGAAAATCTATATTAATTTCATACGCCCCTAAAGTGTTCCAATGTTACACGTGCATTTATTTCCGGTAAACAGCCTTGCTTTATAATGGTTGCAAAGCGTTGCTATTGCCATACAAACAGTCAGGGGTATTTTAGTGTGCTAGGGTTCATATAATACATTAATATATTATCCCTATGCATTCCACGTGCCGATGGGAGTCTTTTTCTAACTTTAAATAACAACCATTAATTATATTATTCAATATCAAGTGATAAAAGTAATTCATATGAACTCAAACAACGTGACGCCCGTGAAACAATTTTTTATTAAGGAGGGGAGACAAATCTCAATAGTTGCAAGTAAGCTGATATAACTGTGTCACTTCCCTTGACTTGATCCAAAATATTTTGCCACTCGGGTGTTGCTATGTGACAATTAGAATTTGATACTGTAAGATATTACTGTCATACAATAGACAGACTTATGTAAAGAGGGATATGCTTTCACAGAAAGAAGAGAATTCCAGATATCTGAAAATGAAGTTTAAAATAAAATGATAACAAACAGTTTTTCTAATTATCATATATTACTTTTTATTAAATAAGTTTCAATGTGAAATAACAATTTATTACTCTCCAAGAAACAAACATTCTTGTAGGAGAGAAACCTACAACTTCTTAACCATCCAAATCAAATATTCATACTGCAAAAAAGTGCTGATTAGAAAAGAATACGGGGACAAGTACTTTAAAACATGTGTTTTAAGTATACATCTAGGATAATAATTTCAAATAGATAGATATAAGATACATGTAGATATAAGATACATGTAGATCTATATCTCAATTGACATAGAAATTCCAAAAAAAATCTGACAGTAAAATTCTGTAAATATGTCTTCATTCCACATTCATAAAAACATCAACAATATTTTCTTATCTATTTCATATTCAATTTCAACCCTTAGCATGCTGAATTTGTGTTCAGAATTTGCCTAACTTTGAAATCAGAACATCTTTTAAAATCAAAGCCATTTCAATATTAAAGGGACTCCACTGAGGTCTTTTGACATGACATGACAGGAAATATTTTCCCCATAGATTTGTAGACTCTTTGATGTAGGTTTGGACCAAGAACCTGCAGATTTTTCCTTTTTTAGCACTTCACTTCATTTGTGTAAGAATTTCAAAATTAATGATTTTAGGTTATTTATTGTGTTTTTTTACCTCAGTGGAGTTCCTTTAAAATACAAAACTTGGGCTACTGAAAGTATGAAGCCTTGTCAGACTGTAGGGGTGTGCAGACTGGCATGGCTCTATACTAGTGGCATAGCTGGCTAATAACTTTGTGTTTGAGCAGGTATAGGACTTAAGAAAAAAACAGTAAGTTTTCACATTAATATACATAAAATTGTGTAGGAATACGCAAGAACTAAACAGAAAATGATATATAAAATATGTTGAAATAAATTAGTGAGATTTTACATATATAAAAATGTCTTCATTCTTTGATAAATATTTTCACCTAGGCATTAATTAATACAAAAATATTTAATTTAAAATGCCCTCAAAAACTATAAAAGTTTATATAAGTAAGTGATTCTTATGATTTTTACTTTTAATGTTTTCATTATGAAAATAAAATAAAATAAGCTAGTCAAATACTTACATTACAGGTAAGATTTTGTTAAATATACCAAAATTTGAGCAAAATTATTAAAAATTATGAAAGATATATTTATTTTAAATTATTTTAATGATATTATAAACTCAGATCTCTCTTATACTTGTTTACCCTCTTAAAACCTATGAATTTTTGTAAGACTAAGAGGTATTTTGTTCTACCCTTTATGTATAAAAAATAAAGAAACAGTTAGTGCTGATATAACAATTGTGTGTAATGAACAAAGCAACAGTGGCATCAAATACAAAGACTTAAATAAAACAAAACAAATATTATCATCATGCTATTTCTCACTGCAAAAATGAATCCTATTTTTAAACAATATATGAATCATATACAATATCCTAGAAAATTAATGGATCAATATTTCTTAGGAAATAAATGGACAATAAATGGATCTTATTTCACAGGCAATCAAATGGATCTTATTTCACAGGCAATCAATTGGATCTTATTTCACAGACAATAAAATGGATCTTATTTTACAGACAATAAATGGATCTTATTTTACAGAAATAAATGGATCTTATTTCTCAGCCAATAAATGGATCTTATTTCACAGACAATAAAATGGATCTTATTTCACAGACAATAAATGGATCTTATTTCACAGACAATAAATGGATCTTATTTCTCAGCCAATAAGGATGACAAAAGGAGAAAGAGGATGGAGGTCTGTATCTGTAATGTCATTTTCATGGAGGAATCACCTTATCATGCAAATAAGGCATACAGTGTGACCTTTGTTGTTTAAATCTAAATAAATGGATTACATTTTTATCCCCAAAACTAACAAATGTAGGTTGTTCTTTATAAAAACATCTTTCATTTAATACTTTGTAAAACTAATTTGAACTTAAAAAGAATCAATCTTAATATTAAGTAACCACGGAAAAGCCTTATACAATGACAGTATTCTTTGAAGTCGTACAATAAATCCTATCTAATTACATTACAACTTAATAGGTAAATATTTGACCTCATTATTTATTACCATCTTGTGAACATAGCAAAATTATTGAAGATTGTAGAACCTGGCTAACAGCTCCTACTGCTTATTGGTTAAAATGGAGTACATATTTAAAATAGACCAATAAAACGGCTCCATTTTTGGGACTGGTTCCCTGCTCCTGTTTAAAAATTGCCGACTCATCAATAAATATGTTTAAACTTATACAGTTAATCAAGAGGCTAGATGTCCATCTATGCATACATGTAACCCCAAAGTCATGAAGAAATCTCCATATTTATTATGATGCAAGTAAGTCAGACAGTTGTGGTCGGTCTGCATAGAGATAAAGAGTTAAAAGACCCCGGTTGATTCCCAATGCATTAATTATTGTAACTGAGTTTAATGTCAGAAAAGACTCAGATCATATCAGTTAACAAATATCATATAACATACTGGCATAATCTATACAGCTTATTCTCTAACAATGTAACAGAAGATGTATAACATATATAACAGAACAACAGTGAGTGTAACATGGAGAATAAATAACAATACAAATGTGAATAAATAACAACACAAATGAATAAATAACAATACAGATGAATAAATAACAAGTTTTCTATAACATACATGTACATGCTAGAAAAATATATGAATATAAAAACCTATTGTCTTGTTAGATATTTATATGAAAGCCTAATTTCTAACCATTTGTAATAAAACTTTATAACACTTTAACCTTATTTAAAAGATGAAAAGGAAAATAAAAAAAAGAAATATTCAATCCAGATGTCAAAAAATATGAAAAATTTACAGCAACTGTGGATGCTTTGTATGTATCTCTATTTATACATCTCTAATTATACAATATTAACATTTGTGGCATTACACATCTGTGACTTAAAATACCAGTGATAAACAAATATCTGTGGCATTTCACATTTGTGACTATACACATGTGTGACATTTAACATTTGTGACATTCCACATCACATACATAAAGGCTTTATGCATTTGTGACATTACATATTATATGGCATTTTTCAATTGTGACATTACACATCATGTGACATTACAGGTCTATGACATAAATTACAAGCTAGTGAGAATTAAAATTATCAATCAGACGATTAAAGTTCCAGGCAGTAAAAACTAAACTTGCATCATTGATATCAAATGATATTGCCTTATTTTGTGCTGTTTGTTATCGTTTTATTCTTCAGCTGTCAAATCAAATATTTTAAAATAAGCCCTAAACTTCATAAAGCATTAATCCCTTTTGTCCTGTTTTCTTATCTAACCCTGAGCACGCTAGTAGGTGCTTAACATGCAACCAGTCCAGACCAAAATCAGCTGACACCTCTGTGCCGCCCGATCATGGTGCACTGTTTGCTATATAATCAATACATATATTTTTAATTTTGTCTAAAAAATTTCAAAAAAAAAGGTTCGTCCAGATTGAAATATATATGAGTTCATCTAAGATTTTAAGTGTTAAGGGTTATACTTATGAGACTATTATCATTGTACAAATTAGGTGAAAAATTGGTAAGATAAAGTTTCTTTGTACAGGACAAGATTATAAGTATGTAAATTCTCTCAAATTAAAGCCTTCTAACTGATACCCAATCTTTTACTGATAAAAAATTTCTATTTCGATCCTTTACAATAGATTTATTATGTGATATGACATCAAAATGGGGTGACAAAAGGTCTTTAAATGAGAAATATTATATCCCCATTAGAGAGTGAGATGCGTTAGATAATATATGCTGAAGCAATGATAATGTGCATAGAACATCAAAACAAGAAAAAAGGAGGCAGTTTAAATAGCTAAACATATTGACACACAATGTAATCAACATAACATCTTAAAGGGACTCCACTGAGGTTTTTGGACATGACAGGACTTGGGAATAACTTTTGGAGATTAATGCTCCATTTGATGTAGGTCTAGGTCAATTACTTGTGTGTAAAATTTCAGATCATTCAGTAACTATTTTCCCAAAATAACTATTCTTCTTGTGAAAAATGACCCAAAATTGAAAAGCATTGCAACAAAGAAATTGAGCTAAAAATAAATGTATTTCTGAGTGCATTTCTTTACTTTCTTTTGCATAATGTTTTTATTTAAAAATATCCGAGTTGATTTATGTACAAAATATGTATTCAAATATATGAATTTAGGCTTTTGGACTTCAGTGGAGTTCCTTTAAATCCTAACATTTAAAAATTATGTTGTAAATTTACATGCATTTTATAACAAATTAATTTTCAACTGAATTTTTTAGTTTGTTCCTGTTTTTTTCAATAATAATTATAATATAAACCTTTTTTTTGCCAATTTTATTTTCAACCATTTCCATGTAGAATGTCCCTTAAGCTATAATTACTTTTATGTGTTGACAATTTCTTTTGCTATTATACTTACTTTCAATGACTTCGGTTAATGATCGGTAATTAAAAGCTAATCTGTAAGATCTATTTGCATAAATACCCTATAAATGGCTTATCTAACATACTTCTTATTCATGGATCAGGTCTTCAGAGACAATTGTTTACTTCAGAATGTCATTAACCAAGAGTCATTACCACCGACTTAACTATATCTATAATAGGCAATCTATTTAGCATGCTATTTCTCCACCTAAGTTCATTGGTGTATTCCGTTGACTAGCAAGAATATTTCTAACGGGACTAAAGTCTGTCACACTGGTATGAACTGGTTCCCTATCATTTACTTCCATTACAGATTCATCTACTAATGGGGAACCATTATTCCCATAATTAACAACCCAGCCAAGACCTTTTTCTTGAGCCGCGGCAAGGTAACGCTTTCTACGATTGATTTTATAAACTCGTATTCTTTCCAACTCTTGATCTTCATCGTCTAGCTTGAATTCCCATCGCAAACTTTCTTCACTTCGAATTCTCGCTGCCTCCTCGGCGGCTTTATTTATAGCGCTTTTTTGCGGATCAATTTTCATAGTTTTTTCTCGTTCTCGTTTTGTAGCACCACTCGAAGAAGTTTTGGTACCAGTTTTCGTTTTACCCTTTTGGGCACCATTTTTAGACTTCACAGACATTGTTGAAAGACTGGTGTTTATTGATGAAATTTCATCGAAATTTGAAAATGAAACAGTATTTTTTCTGAGTACAGGTTCGGATGTACTAAGGACACTTGCCGACTGTGTGTGTTTTAAAGTTCCACCAACTGGAGTGTCAAGAGAAAATTTCCTTGCCGACGCTAAAACTGAGGATTTAGAATTTTTTACTAAGTCACTATTTATTTTATCATTTTGTGAACGTATGGTAGTGATCTGTGTGTCTGATTCCTGTAAAATTGAAGATTTCACCGAGAGTGTTGGTGACGAGTGATGACCACTGACCGGAGAATCTACTGAACCTGCTCCTGAACCTGCCTGGCGACTTGCGGAGCAGTCTGATTCCAGTTCTAAAATGATAAAAATAAGACCATTAAAACAAAAGTTGGCAACCATGATCAAAATTTAATCACCTCTTGAGCTGTCAACATGTCATGATAACAGACAGATTGAAGTTATAATACATGCTAAATATTATACAGTCCTTGAAGTTGAGCAAGAAATTTAATTTAGTACTTTAATATTGCTGAGAGGGCAGCATAGATCAATTATATTTTTGGCTGCCTTATAATGAAAAGGGTGGGGGAAAAAACTCAATCTCAAGATCAATGGATTCCAGAAACCAGTAGACTTAGGGATAAAAGCTATAAAGTTGGTGGACAAGCTCAGCATGCATGAAACATACTGCATTACATTTACTTATACTTTTTTGTCCAGTTTACATTTGTTATCTGAATATTTCCTCAAATATTAAATATTGCATATTTTATTGTACATAATGTTGAAGATTTATTATGTCTTGATATTATTATTATTATCTAAGTGTATGGGCCTGAGAGGCCTTGATATTATGCAATAAACTTGCATTAAAAGATAATAATAATGTCTCCTTAATAAGCTATGTCATAAATATGGCATTTAGATACCCAATAACCCCCATGAGCTAAACAAAGCTCCAGCTTTTTTTGATAAAAGTAAACAAACTATCAGGGAAAACACTGGAATTAAAGCTAAACTTACAGGTTGAGTATTATAACACAGAGAAAAAGTTATGGAAGAATGCAGATTTTTTCTTTCAGTAATTCTCCCTATTTAGCACAAACACCTGCAAAAACAGCTACAAACCAACTGTTTAATCTAACATTAGGTAAGTTTAAAAAAGATCTCTCTTTAACACTAGTCTTTCTAATAAAGGAAAATCAACATAAAATGCCAATCTTTTTTATTTTCTAATTGCATGAATGTTTAAGAAGTCGGGTTTAAATTTATTCAAATGTTCAAAATGTAGTCCGCAGAATCTATTCAATTAAAACATGGGATATTTCAAAGTATCACTTGACACCAAACAGCAAATATTTATAATGCAAAACAATTCAACAAATTTATCTTATAACAAGGTTTTATACAGACCTACAGGGTTTTATTATAGGCAAAATGTTTTTAAAATATTTCCTTTTATTTTGATGATTGATTTTCATGTTTACTCAAAGCATAAGTAGATTAAAACCCAAAGAAATGAAAGAAGACAAAAATACAGGGTATACTTCACATTAATTTTGGTTAAAAAGAAATACAAGTGATTTCTTTTGGTATAATGCTATACGAAAACAGAATTAAATGGGATTTTTGTGTTATTCACACAACATTTACGTTTAACAAATAGCCGGGATTAATTTACACCCCCTACTTGTTAATGGGAGATCAAATATTTACATTGTTGTATCGTATCTGTCATAGGTATACTAGTTTGTATTATAGCTTCTTAAAAAGGCCTTAAAATAAATCTTTGATTCTTGTCCCCTTGAACTACCTTTTCCCCCAATTTCTTCCGTGTTTGTAAGAAATTCGTGATTGCATACTGTAACGTTTTTGATCTGACAATGGTAAAAAAAACCTTTTTTTTTTTCCACCAAAGTTTACCCCCAAATTTGTCTAATCTAGACAAAGGCTGCACAGTAGATTATTTTAGATTTTTATTTTTACCGAGACATAAATCATCTCCTGAACGCCTCCAGGACAGACACCCAATTTCCGGGACAATCCTGGATGTCCGGGACAATCTTGGACGTCCTGGACATTATGGCATGTATGATTATATATTTAAATTGTGCATTTCTATAGACATATCGGTCATGATCATGAGTTTGAAGTTCAAGATGAAATGAAAACACATATCTCAGTATCAGGCCAGACTATGGTTCAGCCACCTTAGTAACAGTCTTACCAGATTTTTAACCACTCAGTGAGAGGTTCCATTATTCTTGGCAGACAAGCTTACAGTCCAGCTGATTCTTGATAATCCCTAAAATTCACATAATAGACAATTCTCAAAATGAAAATTAGACAACTCCATTCAAGGAAATTTAGCATTTAAGAGTTTAATTCTCAATTCTTGCATTATTAAACAGAATCTTTTTACAGCTTTTCTTTTTTTTCAAGTTTTTTCTCTCTAAAGTTCACTCTTTTTTTCTTAAGCTACCAACATTAATTATAAATACAAAGATTTTTTTTTTGGCCAAACATATCAGAACTATCAAATGACATGTTTTACATTTGATTGATCTCTTCCTTTTTTGTGTAGTCTTAAAGGTTATTTCAATTCAAAAACCTTTAACTATCTTAACCAATAGTTAAGCCAGTCTAGCTTCAGCTCTACATGTTCATTCAAATTATAAATATATGGTATGAATTACAATGCAAATTTTTCAATCAACTCAATCAACAAGGTCATTAATTATAATTGGAAACTATCAGCATAATAAAACAGTAGTGACTATGAATTTTTCAACAGTGCTTTTTATAATGTCTCAAGATGAGTAAACGAATAATAATATATATATAAACCCTGTAATATTTGCTATATTATTATAGTTGCTGGGCAGAAAGAGTTAAGGGAGATTAAACAATGCAGCTCTGTCTGTTTCTTAGTCCTTCATTGAAAGACATTGCATTTTTTTTAACAGTTTGACGTTTATCAGAAAATGCATTAAAGCGAATTTGACCTATAAAAAAAGCTTCGAATCTGCCATTTACATCTAAATATTTGGACTATCTGTTTCTAGACCTATTTCAGAAAAGTGAGGTCAGGTGAAATTAGGCGCGCTTATCAGCTAGTGGCTAATACTAGCTGACCATTAAATAGCAAGATAATATATTACAAAACACATTAAACTTAAGCAAGTTTCTGGAACCACAGGCAACAAGTGCAGACCAAAATCTGCCAGCACTAAAGTCTGTCGCTATCTGATTATAACTTCACTCTTTGCTGGTCAGTATTTATCGAAAAAAATTCCCTATAAATGATTAATGGCTATGCCAAGTCAAGTCAATTTAAGATATTAGGGTTAAAATTAGGTAACTGTTAGCAATTTTTTTAGGAAAGTATTTGAAGAATTAAAGAATTATTTAATAAAGATATTTATAGTTGCTGTATTAACAAAATTAGTGGTAAAATTAGCGAAACTGTTTCAGCAATATATAGGATAACTTATTCATTCAAGAATAAAAGAATTGGACGCAGCTTCGTGTAATATAATACTTAATTCTATGAAAAATAACGTTGAATAATTTAAACAAATTACTTCATTCTTTATCTGAAAAGGTCAAAACTATTATTAGCCATTAACTAATTATTATAATTACGTTTGTTTGCCTTTTTTTATTCTAGTAAATAGAAACTTTTCATTTCAAAATATTTAAAATTACAAATTAAAATTCAATTTTCATTTAATCCTGAAAAAAAAACACACACTTTCTAATTCAAATATAAATTTCATCATATTTGTCTCACCATAGTATAATCCGGTCTAAATCCTGTTTATCCAGCAATAAAAGCGTTATTCCCAATCGCAGCACTTTAATTCACAAGAGGTTTCAATCGTTTTTTTAAGACTTTTTTAAATAAATTCAATCGTTAAACCATTTAATCTATTATAAATGAGATATGAATAAACAAAGGTGTTGCAGAGTAGCCAAGTTTTGATATTAACAGATTATAAAAAAAAAAGGACACGGGGGTATAAATAAAATGTGGTTTCTTATATATCTTTCGACATGACCACATACAATGTTTAAATGAAAATGAATATGTTTACAAATGTTTTGGTTACAATAGAAAAAAGTCTAAATTTAGAGACTACTGATATAGGATTTCATCATGTCCCTTTCTTTACAAAGATTTATGAATAGCGTGAAAAAGATATACCATTTCTAAACTGATATTATATCTCCTAATTGAATAGATAGCATTGTCTTATCGGAAATAAGTAACACGACACTTCTGTTATTCTACGTGTCCGCATTTACTTAAAAAATACAACACTTAGCCAAGGTTATTCTATTACCATCCAATCAGATTCAAAGCTTCATGCCAATAGAATCTGCCTGCTACTGAAACTATTATACCACATTGAACATCATATACAGTAAAACGGACTTGTTCATCACGGATGTCTGACAGCTGATCATGGTCTCTGCAATGGTTGCATTGGTAGAATCAAATGCCTTCAGACTTAGACGTTATTTGAAAGTCAAAACAATATTTGAAGCAGAGAAAAGCTTAGGGCACAATTACTCGATCATCAAAAATATCATAATATTTGCTCCACTTTAATGGCATAATTATAATATACCTAAGTTTTAGGTCATCATATAGTAGAATTAGTGCTATAATCTTTACAGTTGGAGCATTAAAATATTGTAAATAAATAATATTGTTCCAGCTTAAGTTAAGAAACTGTTTATTATAAAACCAATAGGAAGAGACTGAGAGTTCAATGATATTGTACCAACTAGGAACCATTTACTATAACTAAGAGGGAACCATTTATTATAATTAAGAGGGAACCATTTATTATAACTAAGAGGGAACCATTTATTATAACTAAGAAGTAACCATTTATTATAACTAAGAGGTAACCATTTATTATAACTAACATTTATTATAACTAAGGGGGAACCATTTATAATAACTAAGAGGGAACCATTTATTATAACTAAGAGGGAACCATTTATTATTACTAAGAGGGAACCATTTATTATAACTAACATTTATTATAACTAAGAGGGAACCATTTATAATAACTAAGAGGGAACCATTTATTATAACTAAGAGGGAACCATTTATTATAACTAAGAGGTAACCATTTATTATAACTAACATTTATTATAACTAAAAGGGAACCATTTATAATAACTAAGAGGGAACCATTTATTATAACTAAGAGGGAACCATTTATTATTACTAAGAGGGAACCATTTATTATAACTAAGAGGGAACCATTTATTATAACTAAGAAGTAACCATTTATTATAACTAAGAGGGAACCATTTATTATAAATATGAGGGAAC